TGCCAAGAAAAGCATTTGATTATAATTTACTAAAGTTATATTCTTATAATGAGATTTTATTCTCTGTATTTTTACAAAAGGAAAAAGAGCAATATTGGTGCTCTATATAGCTGTAGAGTGAAAAAGTACACAGGACAACAGAAAATACAAATTGACATGAGAAAAAGAAAAAGTAGATGCTTTCTTGCCTTAAGGGATTTTCAGCGTGCTGGAAAAAAAAACAGAAACAAACAGATTGAAATAATTAGAGTATATTCACATGTGGACCATGACAGAGATGGACATGGTTTAGAGGTTCAGAGAATAAGCATGATCCTAGACATCTGGACTTATATTTCTGCTCTGCTAATAATTTAGCATTATAGCTTTGTGTAAGTTTCTTAACCTCTCTAAGCCTTGATTTCCTCATCTGTAAAATGGATTATTAATAGACTTTTGAAGTAGCAGCTGAGCCTGAAATTGTTTCACCTTTCCTTGGAGCCCCCATTAGCATTTCTGACTCCTGGGCTTCAGTTTAATTTCATGACAATAGGCATGGCTTCTGCAGGATACCCTTGGTACCAAGCATAGAGGCAACAAGACAATGTTCAGTCTTTTCCAGATGGGTTTTTGACTAGTGCTTATGGAATCCATCCTGCCTTTGGTCTTCATCATTTTATACCTATTCTCCTTTCTGCCTGCATTTCCTGTGAACTTCAAGATCCAGGACTGTATGAGGAAATAGCAGTCTTAGGGAGAATGCTTTACCACCTCCGGCGTTTATGTAAGCCAATCTCCCAATCCCCCAATCCACTGTAACAAATCTCTCTCTCTCTCTCTCTCTTTCTGTCTCTCTGTCATACACAGACACACACACAGACACACACACACAGACACACAGACACACACACACACACACCCCTACTCCTACTGATTCTTTTCTCTGACTCAACACTAACATATGATCTGCTGTTGCAATTTTTCCTTATGAGGAAGTGCTCAATGGTCCTATTTTTCTTTGCATGCATACATCATGTCCAGAACAAAAATGTAAAAATATCCCCATTGGTATGTCCAAATACAACAAAAAATTTGTGACTACATTGATTTGTAATTTGTGAATATATATTATATACATTTATTTCAGAACTTTATCACTTCATATTGTAATCTATGAAATAAATGAAAATGTAAACATGAATGAATGACATATTTGAAAATATAACCAACTGATGAGTTTAAATCATCCCTTTAAGAGTAAGATTGCAGTGCTAGTATTTCTGTCACAACAAATGTTACCTGTAATATGAAATGGTCAGACCAGTCAGAAGATTGTTTATCAAAGACAGCATGTGTATCTTCTAATTCCTTTTGTAAGCATTAAATTTTTTTTACAAATTGACCAAACAAAAGATCAAAATAGGACACAATGGCAATACTGTTTAGATTAGGCTCTTTCTTTTCTACTTCAACAGGAGAACCTTTGACATTAAGGAAGATCAACAATCTGAAACAACAGAAAAGCTCAGTTAAAAAATTACAAGTAACTGATTATCTTTCTGAAATATATACTTTATTTAGAGAAACTATTCTTGGTTCTCATGATTTTCTTTTTCTCCCACTCATGATTTGTGGTACTGCACTGGTGTCCATGGTAACATCCATAGCTAATGAGTGGATTATTACCAGTGTCCTGCCACTGTCAATCACTATATTCTTAAAGACAATGAAATTTCTCTCTCATTTGGTGGTTTTCTTACCCTTTCTCTCCCAATAAGCAAGATCTGAATCTTCACCAAGAATACATGGCATCAAAACAAGATTATCTGTTGCCTTATCTATTTGCCACCTTGGAAAGTTTTGTTAAGATGATAACATTTATTCACGCATACTTGGACAGATTGAAAACCGTTTTTGTTCTCTTTATGCAATGAAAAGAAAATAGTAGATTAGCATATGTGACATTATTCATAGAAGGCACTGTGCCTTATGTACCATTTTGATGAGTCGTCGTCCTCAATGTTTTGTTCTATAAAATGACTATCACAATAAGAGCAGAAAACAATAATAAAACAAAACTTAAGAAAATGCATCCAAGTTTCTTGCCAGCTAAATGCAGACTACTTTTGCCTTTGATAATAGTTGAAGAAAGTGAGGGAGTGCTAGAGCTAGTGTGTTTTTAACACACAATGCTTTTCATGACTGATTCTTGAAATCACCTAGGTTGGTCATGGTTGGCCTTCTTCTGTGATATAAAACAGAATGGAATAGACAAATCAGAATGTGCCATGCTGTGGTAAGAGTTATTTTGTGAAACGTGTAAGTTGAAATGTAAAATATATTTTTCACATTGTCATTTTCTCATGCAATACTAAAGGAATAGTAAACTTTCTCTAGATTTTGGTTCTTTTAAATTTTGTCACAATAAACATTATTATCATAAATAGAGAAAAAATAACACATAGAGTTTTTTTAAGTAAGAAAAATCATGGACATCTGCTATTTCAATATATTTAACATTTTCAGATTAAATAGATTATTCCCTAGAGGAAAAGTAAATTACTCCAACTAATTCAAGAAGAAATAAGAAACCTTAATCAATATCCAACCATTAAGCTAATTCCAAATGTAACCCAATTTCTTTCTTTTCACTCAGACTATGCACTCTCATACCTTACACATACACATACACACAGTCCAAACTTTAAAAAACAGATGATTGTGAACTATAGAGAAATTATTATGGGAAAAATAGAGTAAAAGCCACTCAACTATTCTAAAATAATAATATAAAATTGATGCTAATCCCAGGAAGGTATTATTTTAAAAAAGTAAATGTAGATGCAAAAATACTGAATAAAATATTAACTAATTTGAATTTATCAGTTAATATCAAAATAATGTATCAAGTCTAACTTATTCTAGAAATTTAAGAAGTATTCAGGATTATAAAAAGAGTAACTATATTTCATTATCAAATTAAAGTGAAAAATCAAACATTTCTCCTAATATATACATAGAAGATATTCAGAAAATGTCAACATTGAATACTGTTTATAAAACACAAAAAATGTACAAGAAAAATTAGTATCTCATTAAAAATGACAACAGGACCAAAAGTAATGTATGAATTGAAGGACAATTCAATATTTCAAAATGGATTAGTTTATCATATCAATACATGTAAACAGAAAAAAAAAAGTGTCATGATTATCCTCACAGATGTTTAAAAGGTCTTCAGTAGTTCAACAAGCATTCTAAAGAAAAGCACTCAAAAAGTAAAGCAGCATCTTGCTTACTGTAGAAACAAAAAAGGCATTCCCACTAAGATTAACAATAAAATAAAGACATCGATATCTTTAGTGTTGTTTGACATTGTTTTGGAGGCATGAGCCAGTTTAATTGGACAAAAAAAAAATAATTGAGGCACAACACTAGAAAAGGACATGTAAATCTATCTCTGTTTACCAATAATATAAAATTATTTGTGTAAAACACAGTGACACAATTCATTAAATATAAAAAAGTACAAAAATCCAAGTCTTTATACATACAACCATAACATGTTAAAAAATAGAATGGAAGAGAATATTCCATTTTTTATTCTAGTATGAGCTCAGCTTAACTAAGAGAACATTCCATTTTTAATGACCACAGAGTAGAATGCTTACGAAAAAAATAGCAAAACTTGCATGACTGATAGAAAGAAAATCTTAAAACACTCTTAAAAGACATACAATAGAACCCATCTCAATCTGCTCAAAATCATACTAATGTTAGTTAATCTCAAGGTAGATGTAAATGCAAACAATAAAAAAAAATTCTTCCCCCTGGTGCGGTGGCTCATGCCTTTCATCTCAGTACTTTGGAAGGGCAAGGCGGGTGGATCACGAGATCAAGAGATGGAGACCATCCTGGCCAACATGGTGAAACCCCATCTCTACTAAAAATACAAAAATTACCTGGGATGATGGTAAGTGCTTGTAATCCCAACTACTCGGGAGGCTGAGGCAAGAGAATCACTTGAAACCGGGAGGCAGAGTTTGCAGTAAGCCAAGATTGTACCACTGCACTCAAGCCTGGGGGACGGAGTGACGGAGTGAGATTCTGTCTCAAAAAAAAAAAAAAAAAAAAACTCTAGGAACATCACAATTCAATGTTAAAGTTTTTTTTTTTTAAAAAAAAAAAAGAAAGAAATAAACATTCAAGAATAGCAATGAAAATCCTGAAAAAGGGCCAGGCGCCGTGGTTCATGCTTGTAATCCCAGCACTTTTGGAGGCCGAGGCAGGCAGATCACTCGAGGACAGGAGTTTGAGACCAGCCTGACCAACATGCTGAAACCCTGTCTTTCCTAAACATACAAAAATTAGCTGGACATGGTGGCACGCACCTGTAATCCCAGCTACTTGGGAAGCTGAGGCAGAAGAATCGCTTGAACCGGGAGGCGGAGGTTGCAGTGATTCAAGACTGCACCACTTCATTCCAGCCTGAGCAACAGAGCGATATTTCATCTCAAAAAAAAAAAAGAAAGAAAGAAAAGAAAAGAAAAAGAAAATCCAGAAAAAAAAAATGAGCAGTCGTAGTCCATTCAGATACTGAAATATAAACGTAAAACTGTAATTTAAAAATTTGATTCTGATAGAAGAACAGATAGAATGATGATGAAAACAAAATAGCTAACAACAGATCCCAGTACACGTGGAAACTGAGTACATGATAAACTGTAATCTCACATCACTAAGGGAAAAAATTGTACTGGCAATAAAAGGTAATGGTCACTTTATTTCCTGCACTTTCAAAGAAACACCGGAGAAAAATTCTCCAAGGCATGTTTTCCACTGTAAAGCGGAACCTCTGCCTTTAGGAGTCCCCTATTCTTGAGCAAGGCCACCTGCTTCCCCTGGACTTGAGCTAGACTCTTTGAAGAGTGGGCATTTGGAGAGATGCTAGGGATACAGGTGCTGGTGGAGGGTTGGGATACAGATGCTGAGTGGGCACAGAGTGGTCAGCAAGGATTGAAATGAATATGAACGTGTATGAAGCAGGAAAGCCCTGTGAGATGGTTCGATCGGGGACGGTCCCCAAGTCTTGTCATCATGAAGGATACATTGGAAGAGGAGGTACCCCAGTGAGCCGCCCCAAGTTCGTGATTTTGCCTTTGCCTTGGAAAGAGCTGCAATGCCTCTATCTCTAGGCTGCATCTAAGAAGGGACCTAACAAGGCCTATGGTTTTGACTAAACCAAGAGACTAAGTAAGGTCCAGCTGTCCCCTGGAGTCAGTAGGTAGGAACTCCTGCCCGGGCCATCCCTGCTCCATCCCCCGTGTCCAGCTGGGCCAATGGGAGAACTGGGAAGGAGGCTGCACCTCCCCTTCATGTTTGCTGGGCCAGTTACGGGGAACCAATGATGTGGTCTGTTCCCTCTTACGTTTCCCTCCTAGTTTCCCCTTTTCAGGGTTTTCCAAGGAATTTTGTAGTTGTTGTTTTTCTTCCTCTCTTATTGGAGTTTGAGAATTGTGGTCGGGGGAGCCCTGGGTTTTGCTGAGGGAACCCCGTGGTTTCTGTGGAAGAGGTGCCCACTGGTCCCGCTTTAATGAAGGTGAAGATTGTCAGGTCGCTGTTTGATATTTTCATTCCCCTACCAACCCCACCACCACGGGAGTTGCTTTAAAGATGAATTCTTGTTCAAAGAAGGTTAGGTTTGCAATTGGGCGTTAGCATCACGACCCACCAGGGTCCTGCCCGCCTATACGGCCCACAGGGCACCTTGACTCTTCAAACCAAAAATGTTTAAAAGGGCACAGCCCAGCCTTGTCTGAAACCTCAAGGGCCTGGGATTTCTGTGGCGCTTCCTGAACTCTAAGATGTCACAGAATATGGGATCTGAGTCTAAGTCAGAAGGAGTGGCTCTTCCCACAGAGACAAACCGGTCTCCGCCTGTGACCTTCCCTCCCGCCCAGCCAGGTGGGCGGCATCCGAAGCGGTGAACCCAGCTAGTGGACTGACCCAGATGTGGGACTGGCCAGTCAAGAGACCGAGAGCCACTCCGTTGGGCTGGCCCAGGCAGTTGGTCCAGGGTCACTCAGATCCCAAGCATGAGGAAATCACTTTGTACAACCACCCAAAGCAGGGATACTTTTTTTTTTTTTTTCTCGAGACAGAGTTTCAGTCATGTAGCCCAGGCTGGAGTGCAATGGTGTCATCTTGGCTCACTGCAACCTCCACCTCCTGGGTTCAAGTGATTCTCCTGCTTCAGCCTCCTGAGTAGCTGGGATTACAGGTGCCCACCACCATAACCAGCTAATTTTTGTATTTTTAGGAAACTGGGTTTCACCATTTTGGCCAAGCTAATCTCGAACTCCTGACCTCAGGTGATCCATCTGCCTCAGCCTCCCAAAGTGCAGGGATTACAAGCGTGAGCCACTGCGCCCAGCCACAGAGATACTTAAGAAGTTTAAATAGACTGGGTGCGGTGGCTCATGCCTGTAGTCTTAGCACTTTGGGTGGCCTAGGCTGGTGGATCACAAGGTCAAGAGATGAAGACCATTCTAGCCAACATGGTGAAACCCCATCTCTACTAAAAACACAAAAATTAACTGGGCATGGTGGCGCATGCCTATAGTCCCAGCTACTCGGGAGGCTGAGACAGGAGAATCGCTTGAACTCAGGAGGCAGAGGTTGCAGTGAGCCGAGATTGTGCCACTGCATTCCAGCCTGGTAACAGAGCAAAACTTTGTCTCAGAAGAAAAAAAAATGCGTAAAAAATTTTCAGTTGTTTTCTGATCCTACCTTTTTCTTTTCCTCATGACTACGCTTCAGTGATTCCTTCACATCAAGTAAAAAAAGCCTTGATGCTCCCTCCACACTCCCCACTTAGTAACCATGGAACCATGGTGCATGCACCCCACTATCCTTTTTCAGTAAAATTGTATAGGCAATAAAAGGAAATGGTCATGTTAAGACAGCCTAGGCAATAACATAGACACTTCTGACTGTGTCTCTCTCTTCAAGTGCAAGAAACTCAAATCATCTAAAAAAAAAAAATACTTTACAATAAACAAACACAAAAACATATTTGGCCAGAGTTTTCTTTAGGTATTAATGAATATTTTTCTTAATCTTTATAAGTTTTCTGTGTTTAATATTTCTTAATACCAGTAGCATTTATCTGTACTTTTGTAGCAACACAATATTTTTACAAACAGCCAGGGTTTGGCTCAAGTCTTCACAAGGGGTTTATGCAGGGTCGCCTTGGGGACCCTGTGTACCATGCACTGTATTTTTTTTAAGTTTCCTTGTGTCACACTTGCTGTGTTAATTAACAAAAGACATTGTGCACAGTCTCCTGTACTGGTGAATCCAACAGCTCTCCAAGGAGTCACACTGCATGGGGGTTGAGTTGACAGTTCTTATGATATGAAACCCCCAAGACCAAACTTGAGGGTTTCCTTAGGGTTTTATGTTTGCCCTTTGGGTATTTGTTTCATTTTGTTTTTGTACTCTTTCTTCCTTTACAGCCAAATCAGCTTCATGATGTTCAAAACTTTTACTGATGTCAAATGGAGGAAAGGAACTGAAAAAAAAAATTGTGTAAAGTAATAAAATTTTAAACTGAGCTTAAAAAAGGGGTAATGGTCATTTAGAAAAAATACAGTTGAATTCATACTTTACACCATTTACCAAGATAAGGTCCAAAGAGATCAGAAATCTAAATGAGCAAGTAATAATTTTCATAAGTATTAGGGGGAAAATGAATGAATTTCCTTATAGTTAGGGTAGCAAAACTCTATCTAAACATGATTTAAAATCTAGAAACAATGAAAGAAAAAAATTAATTTAACTAGATAAAGTTATCAAAAAGATGACAAAACAAACCTAAATGTGCAAGTTATCTCACAGGTAAAGATCAAAACCCTGGTTGAAAAGTAGACAACAGGAAATAACAGTTCACAGAAAAAAAAAAATGTGATGATGCTGGCTGTTAACGTGTGTGTGTGTGTGTGTGTGTGTGTGTGTGCGCACGTGGGCGCATATGTGTATTCCTATCTTAACTCATAATAAAAGAAATTCAAACTAAAAGCACACTAACATATCATTTCTCACTCATTAGAGTGGTCAAAATTCTCAACTTGACTAGCATTGACAGAGAATGCTCTGTTTTTTAATTTAATAAGTACAAAATGTACAATTTTAAGTACCAGATGATAAATAATTAATTTATATTGCTTTAATTCTTTAAAAACTAATATGCATGCCAAATATGTTAAGTGTGGTTCAACAATAGAAAATAAATTAACATAATCCATCACAACAACAGACTAAAAGAAAAATCACATGATTAGGCTGACGCATGCAGGAAAACCATTTGACAAAATCCAGCACTAGTCAAAGTCAGACCACTGACACTACTTGACTTTAAGAATGTTACAAATCTACAGTGATCAAGACAGTGTGGTATTAGCAAAGACTGGGAAAATAGACCAGTGAATAGAAGAGAGCCTAGAAATTGACGCACACAAATATCGTTAGGTGATCTCAATGGAGAAAGGTTAGTCTTTCAATAAATGGTACTATAACAAATGTACATGAACATGTTTAAAAAAATGAATCTACACCCAGATCTTCCACCTTTCCAAAAATTAATTCAAAATGGATGATAGACCTAAATGTAAAAGGCAAAACTATATAATTTTTAGAAGATAACACAGGAGATCTAGATGATCATACGTTTGGTGATGACTTTTTGAAAAAGCGTAGTTCATGAGAAAAAAATAGATAAAATGGACTCCCTTAAATTAAAAAGTAATCTGGAACATTATGAAAACTACTGAATTTGACCAAGCTGAGTACTGGACATATGTTGGTGATTTCATTATGCTTTTCCAGATGTCTGAAATGTTTATTTAAAAGATAACTTAAACTAAACAAAAACAATGTTAATTCTTCTATAACATTTCCAGCAAATCTTTTATTTAACTCTGTACCTTCCTTTTAAAATGTTTTCTTTATTACTAGAGCCATACTTTGAGTGAGCTAACATGACTTTAGAATACACATTATTTTCACTTTAAAATACACATTATTTTCACTTTTGACAACATGGTTTTAGATGAAGAATTTGAAACAGGGATTATATATATTACAACTTTCTATTTGTTTTATGGCACAAGAACCCGTTTTTCATAACTCTGTATCAGTTTCTCTTCTTTATTTAGTTCTTTCTCTAGATGTATATTTGTAGTCTCCACAGATAACTACCTGATCTTTTGCTTAGTCAATTGATCTTGATTAAGATAACTACTTATTCTACTGACCTATAAACATTGTTTATAATGACATTTAATACTTCACCTGTGAGATAACACCCAAAGAAATAATTAGTAAATTTGTCGTAAATTCCTTTACAACCCATGAGGACAAAAGGTCTTTCTATTCACTTGTGTCCATGTCAATTTCTTTCATTAGTGTTTTATAGTTTTCATTGTAGATGTCTTCAGTTCCTTGGCTAAATTTATTCCTCGGTTTCTTTTACTTTTTGAAGCTGTTGGAAATGGGATTTTTAAAATTTCTTTTGCAGCTAGTTTATTGTTGAAGTGTAGAAATGCTACTGATTTTTGTATGTAGATTTTGTATTCTGCAACTTTACTGAAATTTTTTATCAGTTCTAAGAGTTTTTGGTGGAATCTTTAGTGTATATATATATATATATATATATATATATATATATATAATAATGATGTCCTCTGCAAAAAGGGACAATTTGGCTTTCTCTTTCCAAATGTGAAAATCTTTTATTTCTTTTTTTATTTTTATTTTTTGTTTTATTTTATTTTAATTTTTGAGATGAGGTCTCTCTCCGTTGCTCAGGCTGGAGTGCTTTGGCATGGTCTTGGCTCACTGCAACCTCCGCTGCCCATGTTCAAGCAATTCTCCTGCCTCAGCTTCCTGAGCAGCTGGGAGTACAGGTGCCTGCCACCAGGCCCTGATAATTTTTTGTATTTTTAGTAGAGACGAGGTTTCACCATGTTAGCCAGGCTGGTCTCGAACTCCAGACCTCATAATCCGCTAGCCTAAGCCTTCAAAAGTGCTGGGATTACAGGCGTGAGCCACCATGCCTGGCC